CTGTCTACGCGGGTCCCTCCGCGCTTTCCCCAGGCCCACCGGGCACGGGCAGGCTCCTGTCTGCCCGCCCCCCGCTGCCCTGGGCACCCTCCCCCCCCTCGCCCCCATCCCTGGCTGCTTCAAGACAAGACAGAAAAGGGTTTGGGGGGCCCTGGGGGCCGGCTGGGAGCTGGGTCCCTTAATTCAAAAGCCTTGAGCTCTCAGGGCCCCCAGAGAGCTTTCCAAGGAAAGAGAATGAGAACATTCCAGCCGCTTCTCCCCACCTAGCCGTGCGGGCTCTACGTTTAGTGTTTTTTCTGATGGAAGCCCTTGGAAAGGTGGGTGGGGGAGGGGGTCCTGCAGGGGCAGGGGACAGAGAAGGGCACAAGAGGCTGTCCGGGGCTGGCCTTTCTCAGGGCCCCTCCACCACCTGGCTCTGGGCCGGACCGGGGCAGCTTCAGCCCCAGCGCAGACCAAGCCAGAGGAAGCCCTGAAGGAATCAGGAGAAGCCACACGGCACCCCTTGAGCTGACGGATGGACTCAGACCCCGCGGGCACTGGGCAGGGCCCTCAGACTTAGCGCGCAGCAGCATCCCGGCTGTGGCCCCCCAAGACTGCAGCCCACAGGGCCAGGGTCAGGGCCGGTCTCCCTGCCACCCTGTGGCCCTCTCCTCCTGCTCAGCAGCCCCAGACCAGGCGCTCAGTCCCAGAAGTGCCATCGGGCCTAAGGATGAGGTCACTTGGGGGTCGGGTCTTCAGGGGTTCACACCCCTCCTCCTCCGGTGTGGGTCCATTGGGCACACCGCCCAAGCCGCCACCTGGAATGCCAGGGAGCCTGGGGGCTGTCTGGGCTGGCTGTGGCCGGGGAGGTCAGCGGGTGACCCTGGCTGCACAAAAGCCTGGCCAGCCTGCCGGCCGCCCAAGCCAAACCAATCTGCACCTTTCCTAAGGCTCCGCCCGGGCCGGAGCTTGGGATGGCTGGGCCCTGGGGCCGGGCGCCCGGGCCCCCCGAGGCTGCAGACCGCTCAGAGGTGGCCTCGGAGCCCAAAGTAGATCCTCTTGCTGGGACCTGGCTGTCCGGCCAGCCTGCCCGCAGCCCCGGGGCTCCCTGCAGGGCCTCCCCCTCCCCATGACAACATCAACACCCCCAGAGCTGTGGCCGTCCCCAGCTAGCCCCGCCCCTGGAGCGGACGGCTGGACACTGGACCCGGAAGAGGAGGGGGGGGACTGTGCATGGGAACAGCAGGTGGCCCCATCCACAGGGACAGAGGCAGGGGCGTCCTGCAGAAGTTGAGGTACGTAAGTGCCTGTGGCCTGGGCTGGGAGCGGCTGGGATTGGAAGTAGGCTGGTGGGGTCAGGGTGTCCTGGAGGCAGCAGTTAGCTAAGCCTGTGTCCCCGCAAGACCCTGGAAAATGGCCCAGGTGTCCCCCCCACCCCCCACCTGCGGCCCACAGGTGCCGGAAAACTCTGTGGAGGGGAGCGCAGGAGCCTTTTAGGGCCCAGGGATACATGGGGCCATCCCAGCTGGGGGGGACTCCCAGCATAGCTGGTCTTGGGTGTAGCTGGGGCCACAGGGGAGGGTCCACGTTCACGGGGTGGGAAAGACCGCCCGCCCGTGAGACCCGGTCGTGGTTGGAGGCCACCCTCGGCCCTGCTACCGGGGCAGGGCCCTCCTGGTGAGCCTTTCCCCCCAGCCCCCAGCCGACCATGGCTGTGATCTTGGGAAGGTGCGTGGGACCCTCTCCAGAGCCCCTCCACAAACAGCTCATGGAGGCAGGGAGAAGGGAGGCAGGGAGATGCCCAAGGTCATCAGGGTCTCAGGTGGCAGAGGAGAGGTCAGACCCAGTCTCCTGCTTGGCACCACCCTGGGCACTGGACCTCAGATGCCCCTGCTCCTTGGGGACCCCAGGTCACCCCATGGCAGCCAAGCCCCAGGCCATGCCTCTGCCACCCCATCCGGGCCATGCTCCGCCCCTTCTGGGAAACAGGAGGACAATCGTCCCGTGTCCTCAGACCCTGCCTGCCCTTGGAACCTGGGCTTCCCTCGCCCATGGGGCTGGCAGTGGTGTTGGCCACACCCAGCCCTGCGTGTCACCTGGCATGGGGGGCAGGAGTCCAAATGCCCCCGAGCCCGGGGCAGCGGGGTGTGGAGGAGCAGTCCCCTGACCCTGCTGGGTCCCCCAGCCCCCTCACTGGGGGGCCAGGGCCTCCCGGGGACGTTGTAGCCCCCACACTTGCCGTCACGTCTGTTCTGTGTTTCGCCATCACAGTGCCATGTGGGGTGGGAGCTGTTGCGCCTGTGTTCTTGACGGGGAGACTGAGGCTGGAGCCAGGATGTCTGTCCCTCTGGTGCCCGCACGCTGAGGACATTCTGCCAGTGCAGCTGCCTCCGGCACCGATGAATGGGCACTTCCGCCTGGCCCTTGGGGCAGTATTTGCCTTCTCCTGTCGGCAGTAAATATTTACCGTCCTCACTGTTCTCCGGGCCTGAGCAGACCCTGAGGGGCAAGGGGGTGGGTGCAGGGATGCCAGGGTGGGTCCACTTGCTTTTGAAGGCCCGGTGCCTTGGGGGGAGGGGTGGTGGTGCGGTCCAGGAGAGGGAGCGAGACCAGGAGCCAGTGACCCGAGCTCCTGGCAAGGCCCCCTGGCAGAGACCCGGCTGAGCCCTGGTGAGTCTCTGCATCCAGCGAGGCCGTGAGGGGAGATGCCTGTGTTCCCCTTGAGGGAGCCTGCCCTCGGGCCCGGGCACGGTGAGGCCCCCAGTGCAGGTGGCGTCCCTGGGCACCTAGGCACCTGTCCGAGCCAGGCAAGAGGGCCAGGGCGGCCATTCACAGATATGACCAGCAGAGGGCACCAAAGCCCCACTTTTGATGCATGCGACTCCCGCGGTCCAGGCCCGTGGTGCTCTCTGAAAGGATCTGTGTCTCCCAGTTCCTGCCATTGGGCACTCTCCGGGGCCTCGGGGAATGCCCGATGGGCTGGCCACCCAGGCTCTAGAGGCCTTGAGGTTTAGGAAGGAGACGGGCTGTGTAGTGTCTCAGGCCCCCAGTCTTTCTGGTCCAGGCTTCTCCGTGGGAGCAGCTGGACAAGGTACCAGGTCCCCAACATTCTGGGAAAGTCTCCAGGGTGATCCTGAGCCCTGATCCCCAGAAATGCAGAGCCCTGGGGTGGAAGGGAGGTCCTTGGGGGTGACTTCCTTCAGCCACCCCCTCACACACAGTGTGGCTGAGCAAGCCGAGGTCAGCGGAGGGCCAGGCGCCCACCCAGCTGGAGCTCTTGCTGAGGGTCTGCAGGGCTCTGAGGGACTTGAGGCTGGGGGCTGGGGGGTGGCCGTCACTGTCAGGCCAGGTGGTCCCTCCCCGTGCTGGTACCACCTCAGTCCCCGTCGCCCGAAGGCTTACGTGAGGCAGGGACTCGGGGACCCAGGGGGCCTCCGGAAGGGGTCCGGCCAGGCCAGGTTCCCTCCTTCCCGTGCCACCCCCTGTCCCCGCCGGCTGCTGGCAGGAGAGGGGTCAGTGCCAGAAAGAACATTTTGGGGACGGAGGCAGACAGGGGTCTGGGAACCGCAGAGATAAACAGGGAGGTGGGGGCCTCCTGCCTCCCTCCCTCCACCCAGCACTATTGTTTCTGGGTTCTTCACAGGGACAGGGAGGCAGATTCCTTCGAACGTGGAGGCCGACCGAAGCGTCTCCCCATGTCCCCTGCAGCCTAGTCAGGCTGTGGTGGTGCAAGCAGCCCCACCCTGCCTCAGCCCAGACCTCCCACCTCCTGCCCGTGTGCAGTTGTGGGGGGACCGGTCCCAACGGTCTCCCTGGGGCTCCCCAGGAAGCTGGGCCTCGGGCCATATGACAAGGTCACCCCATAGTCCCCACCCTTCAAGGCACTGGGCTGACCACATGGGGTCCTGGGGGCACCGCTGGGTCTGTGGCTACGCTGCACTTGGGATCCATCAGGCCGGGAGTGGACATAAGTCCTGTTCCCCCCAGCTCCCTGTACCCGGAGGGGCT